CGGAACATGTCGACGGGGCTGGAGAGCTGGGTACTGGACTTCCGTGCGTGCAGGAGGCGAACGATGATTACGGAGGCGACCGGGCTGATTATTGATCGTAGCCTTCCGACGGATATTGATGAACTCCACTCGCTTGGGACATCCGCGATTGGAGGCTTGGTGGTTACCACCGCAGTTGACACACGTTGGCTCGATGTCATCATCTTGCTCACAGGACGCAGTCCAGTGAGTTCCAGCACACTTGCCGCAGATAGTCTTCATATGGCAGTTTTTGGTGCCATGGCCGTAGGAGAGGCAGTTCATACACTGCGTAACATCACGATGTTGGGATTTGTAATGTTCCCAACTGATGATGACCTGAAACAGGTCCCGGATTTCGGATCTCAGAACCGCTAGACTGGTGGATCCCTTCGTGAAGTGCACCAGGAACAACTGGTCACGGAAGCTGGTGTTGTGGTTGGAACGCCGGTTTATTGGGAACACCGCCTCAGGTTTGAGCCCAAGCCGCTCCAGCTCGGATTTAACCACAGCCGCCTCGAACGACGGTAATCCACGCAATACCAGCTTCAGTGGCTTGCTCGATGGCAGATCGTGCGTGAAGAAGTCAACGTTGTTTTCCTTTAGGAAACATCCTGTTTGATTGTACTCCTCCAGGCTGGAGCACATGATTTTGGTGCCGATGCTGCAAAGCTTGAAGCGAGGCAGCAGCTTGTGTTTTGCCAGTTCGGCACGCAGCTTGGCAACATCCTTCTCCGGCGTGAAAAGCGGGGGAATCCGCTCTCTTGCAGCGATGGGAACGACGTCACCATCGCCATTTTCTTCGGGGAGCACCGCAAACTGGTTGGCTTGCAGTACCCGTTTTCCGGCATCATCCTGCGACGCGCTGTGCTGGATTACCACCTTCTTTGAAGGGCCCGCTGCTGAATCATTGGTACGTTTACGCACCATTTGTTTCGTGTTGGCAAGTTGCAGTAAACTTGCCAGAACGCGCGAAGGTGGCGACGCTTCCACGGCGCAACGCGACAGCACAAACCGAATCGAAGCGAGAACTCGAGCGAAAAAGAAAACGAACTGAACAGCTCAACAGTCGCAGCAAAAGCACGACAGCAGCGCTGTTTTTATATCTTTTCAGGTTCAAGCAGAACGATGTGAAACCGAACCTGATAGGATTTCCTGCCGTTTTTTATGAATGGGGCGGAGCAAAAAGCTTCTTCTGTGCAGAATATGTAAAAAAGGACGGACTTTGGATGTTTGCATATATAGAGGTACCAGATATGTTTTACAGTCAGTTGTTGGTAATTCAAAGAGGAATTTCTAATGTGAATCTAAATGCATACATAAATGGACCAGTCATGTTTTGTAGTGTTAGATACTCGATTTTGTAATCTGTGAAAGGGATTGATTGATTTGTCGACCTCACTGCACTCTGTTAACAACTAACTGAAAATAGTTTATACGTGATGTTGCCACAAGTGGTATCTGATGGCCAATACGCGCGGAACCGATCTCCATCGATTCAGTGTCAAAACTGGGCGTGTGTGGGATATCGGAGTGAGTGATAGCTTAAATTTTGTATCGATCCCTCTATAAGCAGCCGCCGAAGTACCAATAAACTGAGCTGTAAACTTGTTTATGGTTATTATTGTTCAGGTTAAATTTCCACTGAACTAATTTGCACAAATTTTAACATCTTAATTTACAGGCGTGGATGATGAGAGCCACCTACACACTGCGTTCGTTCTGGGCTGCATGTGCAGCCGCCGGCGTAGCACACCCAGCGTGCAATCAATCAGTCGAATGCCCCAAAACAGAGCGCGGAGACAAAGAAACGAAGCCAAATTTTATGAATGAAGAAATTTACACCCCACAGACACAATGCGCACCCACCCATATGCACATTGAAGCCCGACCATATAGTGCTATCGTAAAGTATCGGTTTTCTTACCCATGCAAACCCGAGGATCGCAGTCTGCACAATACTGCTGAATTCGAAGCAGTTGCAGTTTGTTGCGACACAGTGGGTGGCTGGTGGCAATGCGTAAAAATTTACGCCTTCAATAAACGAAGAAGACTCATAACTTATCAACAACCCCCTCGAGTCGCCCCAGAGTCAATTGGTCAGTATTTTTTGTTTCGTTTCGCTTTGTTGCTGTAGGTCGTTGAAGACGTTTTAACGACAAGTTGGTTGCCATTTTTTGACTGACCGGAGGGGTAGTAAAAATCATTGAAGAATTTACGACAGCAGATTGTGTAAATGATAACTAAACATGGGGGGGCGTCCAATATATTCCGCAAACATTCAAAGTGGCATCAATCGGTCACTCGGGCAGTCAACAACGGATGGATCGTAAAATTTGTATGAGTAAAAAGAGCAGACGTGTGGATTGGCCCACTGACTGACTGACTGACTGACTGCCAAACTGAAAACATATTCGGTTTGGTCAGATGGACCAGAGGGGTGTACCATAAAGTACTTGGTGGGGAACATACATATTCATTGCCTAGGTCGTGGATTTTGTTTTCCGCTGTTGCTGTTGCTGCTGCTTAATAATTCCCTCGAGGAAAGTCGTAAAGTTTCCGCCATCGTCGTCGTGAGTGTTTGTTGTTTTTGTTTGTGTGCTCAGATGTTGGTACCTAATGACAAACAGCAATGAATGGCCGGCCAGCGTTCAAATGTCGTTTCAAAACTGCGCACTTAAGGGATTTTTTTTGAAGAAGCGGTTATTCAGTCGGGAAGGTTTTGTAGGGCAAAATCTAAACACAGAGTGTTTCGATCTAGAAACGTTCGCTTGCAAATAAAAGAATTTCTCAGTAGCACAACGACCGCATACACACAGACAGAGTTCACGGTATTTTTGAACTACGAAGTTGATTTATGTTGTGTTGCTAGCCCAAGTATTTCGCGGGCCCGTAAAAATCTCGACTGTCGTTAGTTTGGTCGATCTTGGTTGACGACCGATTTAGAAATTTAGGTGAAATGGTTCAAATTCTCTCGATTGTCGTATCATTCATTTTCTAGGAGACGATCTGAATTTGAAACTTGACCGCATCGAATTAAAAAAAAATCTTGCAAGCTTTCTAACACTTACATACACTGTGCACTGGTGAAATTCTTACACTTATGTCATTACCTGTTTGTTAAAAAATTGAAAGCCATACCCCGCACGTGTATCAATCGAACGATCGATTGGAATTCCAGCAATGTATCGAAGGAATCAACAACTCGCAGGCCCGTTCCCCGCAGTGATCAGATTCCACCGCGAAAAGAAAGCATTCTAATGATGGTCCGGAAATTTTTCCCGTGAGAGGATCGTTAATGTGATTACAGAGGCTAACACCCTGTGAAACCCACCGCACATCGAGCGCTCATCAACTCTGCTTGAATTCGGCTCCTAGCTCTCGCAGCATGTGGTGCATGCGGATTAAAACATCAAATTGAATTGCACTGAACCCCCACAATCACATCCCATCCGGCATCCGGGCGTAATGGCTCTAACAAAACCGACCATTCTCAGTGTCTCTCAGCCGGTTGTCTGTATGTGGGTGTGTGTGAGTGTGTGGTAGATTTGCCAAAAAAATAATAATTTCATTAATTATCTTCAATCATAAATTGGCAGCTTTGCCTCCTCCTCACACTCTGGCGCTCTTTAATTCTTGATCTGTGGGAATTGCGTGATTCATTTCCATCGGTTGATGATCGGCTGATCCATGAGTAGTCGAAATAATATTTTTTTATCGGTCATTTTCAGGCAATGTCCAAATGGAACAATTGTCCATTTGATCAATCTTACATTTGCCCAAATTATTTATATTATCATTCCTGTATCCTGTATCACTCATTCAGTCAATCATTTACTTGGTCAGTTGACTATGTTTTGTTGGCAAAATCAAGTATCTCTTCAATGTGGACAATAATTGGGTGTTTCATGCTACTTCTGACAGCACTCACCACCAGAGGGCGAGCAGTCTTCAGTCGTATGGGCTGGGGGAAAATCGACTTGGTGCAATTTGTTCAATAGGGGAAATGGCTCTAATGTTGGCCTATGGATCTAAGATTGGGCCCATCGCTAAAAATCTGCTATTTATCAATTGTATCTAGATGAACGCGTCATTGGGACGGTACTAATGGATATTTTTAGTCGCTATTGAAAATTTAGTAAATTGCTGAATTTATGTATGGGCCCAAATTAGGGGCATTTAGGCTGACATTATGTAGAAATTTTCTCACCACTACCAGCAAGGTTTGAAGAGAAGTCGTCGATTTTTCAAAAATCCCCATTCCGCAAAACTGGTTTATCCACCACTGGAAGGGCGACATCTGTCGGATTTGATGGTGAATTTGGTCAATTGTCCATTTGCCCAATCTTCCACTTGCCCATTTTGAGCAATACATAGTTCTGTTGGTCATTTGATTCGCTGGGTTGAAGGATCCGATTAGGTAAGATTAAGTGTGAATTTTCAGAACGGAATCGACCTATTCATGTTCAGTGGTCGTTTCCCTCCCCTAAATCAAGTCGGCCAGTCGAGGGAATTAGCCAGATCATTAGAAGCCGCACTGCGCGCACACACTCACACAACGGTGCGTGAGAGCCACAGAAAGCAGCCACGGCTGCTGCTGTATCACGTACAAATACAAATCGTAATCAGCTCGCGCATTTGATCGATGATTTCGATATCACAATTTATCAACGATTTGATCAAGCACAGCCAGAGCCCGAGTCTAGCCGAGGGGGATTAATGTACACACAGGCACGCACGGTTCCGATCGGGTCAGCTATTTTGAACACCCGGAGAGCGTCGACAGCTCTTGGGGGTACTTTGTTGTTTTGAATCCAGTACCCAGAGCCGCAGCCGAGTGTGTGAGTGTGGAGCAGCTATTTGGAGGCATAAACATTAATCATAACCTAATAGGTTGACCTAATTTTTAGTTTTAGATTCGAGATTGTTTGGTTGGAGGTGCGCAAGGCGAACGTTTCGGTGGTTGTGGTTGTGGTACTTACTCCAGGTACTCGGTGACAAAGTGCCGGGAACAGTTGGACCATGACCAGGGGTGCGTGTTCTGATCGAGCATTCGGGACATGATGTTCTGCTTGCCGCTGCCTTCGCCTCTAAATGGACCACATCGGACGTCGTCGTCGTGGGGCATGCTCAGTCTGGAATTGGTGGAGAGTGGATAAAGTTAGGTTAGTTAGGACTCCTAAATTGAACATTTAATATCTTAGAATAAAAGAAATCGATACCCGGATCATCCGGAATTAATCACTGGCCACATATAATCAGGAAAATTTGTAAAATATTCACAGAATAGTTTCTGATGTTTCTTTATGAGTCGCATGGTTAGTATGTTGTAGTAGAAAGTAGATTGAAGTTACCGGAATCGGTTTTCGGAACATCCGGGATAGTTTATGTTAAGCAGAATATAATCATTCCTCCTCAATTAGACATTGTATCTATCTCTCTTAACTATTTCTCTTGTAGATTTCTGATATATGACGAATAACCTGCATAGCTATACAGTATTTACCCGATTTTACCAACTTCTTTTTTGAAAATGTTTTACATGACCTTTATCTTTATTCAGAGCAGGGTTTGAGTATATCTTACTTCAAAGTATTTTTTTCTCAAATCGGCATAAAACCTCCTAATCTTTTATCATCAACGTATTACAACCCAAATAATACAATTTTTCTTAAAACTAGACAAAAATACAAAAATCCGTCGAAGGTTTTGTGGTAAATCGCTCGACGCAGCAGTTCTCAGAAGAACAATTGACACTACTCAACAAGGGATTAGGATATGCGATCTCCTCAAAACCTGACGTGGAAGAGGCCATCGTTGACATGGAGGCTGCAATCACTCACACACTTCCTATTCAATTACACGAGACTGCCAGGAATATTATTTCAGAGACAATACAAAACGGAAAGGACATTCACTTAGTAAAACCAAAAAAGAGGAAATTCGAATTCTCAAAGAACTAAAAATAAAGCCGGTATTCTATACTAAAGTGGACAAAGGTAATGCAGTAGTGATTTTGGACAAAGAGGCCCATACAGACAGTTGATGATTGACCCCCTCCCATCGATGGTTAAACATGTGGATAAAACGTTGAAAGAGTTCAAGGCATTTATTGGCAACACTACGAATCAATTGAAAGTTTCAAACCCTATTCTACCTAGGATCAAAGGTTTACCAAAGATTCACAAACCAGGAAACGAAATGTGGGAGATTCTCTCGGCTCAAGGATCCCCCACTCATAAGCTTGCCAAACGGCTAGTAAAGGAATTTCAAAATGTGCCTAAACCCTTTACAACTCGCTCAGCTAACAGCACACAGGAATTCGCAAATCAACTTCAACACAGGAATTCGCAAATCAACCACATGCGCTTAAATGAATAAACAATAAAAAAAGGTCAGAAAATCTGCGCGAATGTGGATCGAACAATTTCGCTTCAATACGGAAGTAAGTTCATTTGACAATGAAATACGAAATGAACACGAGTCAAGCCAAAGCAAACATCATGAAAACGATCGAAAGTAGTTCTGTTGATGTTGAAGGGGATCTGCTCGAAGAGATGACGGAATGTCTTTTTTTTTTTTTTCTTTATTAAAGAGATTTTTAGCCATAGGCTAGTTCATCTCTTAGATGACGGAATGACTTTCAATTGAAAGTGATGGTTGACAGCTTCGTCGTCGCTTGACGATTTTCGATTGAAAGTGACTTCGTTGGGCCCTGCTTGTGACATAAACATGAACCTGGACGTCCATAGGACCGTCCTCCGGATGATCCGGAACATCCGTAAAAGTGATCAATCCATGAAACTGATCCTAGAGCTACGCGTTTTTTTTAAATATTAGGATCTGTGATATAAGAATGAATTTGGGACATGGACCAAGATGGCCATCGGACCGTGCAGCGGAAGATCCGGAACATCCGTGAAAGTGGTAAATCCACGATCCTGATCCTAGAGCTCCACGTTTTTTATAAACATTAGGAACTGTGATGATAGAAAGAATTTGGGCTTGTGACATAAACATGAACCTGGATGTCCATAGGGCTGTCCTGTGGAGGATCCGGAACATCCGTAAAAGTGGTAAATCCACGATCCTGATCCTAGAGCTCCGTGGTTTTCTTGAAAGCATTAAGAACTGTGATGATAGAAAGAATTTAGGCTTGTGACATAAACATGAATCTGGAAGACGACAGGCTACTGGCCCCTGATCTTCAAGAAGTTGAGGAGGAGGTCGGTCGACTGAAGAACAACAAAGCAACTGGTGTAGATCAACAACCAAGTGAGCTATTAAAATACGGTGGTGAAGCACTGGCTAGAGCGCTGCACTGGGTTATTGCCAAGATTTGGGAGGAGGGGATATTACCGGAGGAGTGAAGCAAGGTGTTGTATGCCCAATCTACAAAAAGGGTGACAAATTGGATTGCTGCAACTACCGCGCGATCACACTGCTGAGCGCCGCCTACAAGGTACTCTCCCAAATTATACGCCGCCGCCTGTCACCATTTGCAAGAGATTTCTTGGGCATTACCAGTAGGGATTCATGGGTTCATATTCGCGATTCGGCAGGTTCTGCAGAAATGCCACAAATACAACTTGCTTACACATCATTTGTTCATCGATTTCAAATCCGCATACGACACAATCGATCGTGATCAGCTATGGCTGATTATGCACGAGTACGGATTTCCAGATAAACTGACGCGATTGGTCAAGGCAACGATGGATCCAGTGATGTGCGTTGTTCGAGTATCGGGGACACTCTCGAGTCCCTTTGAATCTCGAAGGGGGTTACGGCAAGGTGATGGACTTTCGTGTCTGCTATTCAACATTGCGTTAGAATGTGTGATCAGAAAAGCAGGGATAAACACGAGCGGCACGATTTTCAGGAAGTCCATCCAGCTTCTTGGCTTCCCCGATGACATCGACATCATGGCACGGAACTTTGAGGCGAAGGTGGAAACGTACATCAGACTGAAGGCTGAAGCTAGGTGGATTGGACTTGCCATCAACGCAATAAACACAAAATACATGAAAGGAAGAGGTTCTAGAGAAGACAATGTTAGCCTCCCACCCCGAGTTCAGATACCAGCAGAGAATTTCAAAGACGCATTATGGTAGGGAATCGTGCCTACTTTGGACTCCGGAGGACGCTCCGGTCGAATAAAATTCGCTACGAAGTCGACTATCTAAAATACGCTGATTAGACCGGTGGTCGTCTACAGCCACGAGACCGTGACTATACTCGTGGAGGACAAACGCACCCTTGCATGACGGAACGTGGAGGAAGCGAATGAACCAAGAATTGCACCAGCTGTTGGGAGAACCATCCATCGTTCACATTGCAAAAATTGGGCGACTACGGTAGGCTGGGTATGTCGTAAGAATGTCGCACGACGACGCAGTGAAAATGGTTCTCGAAAGCGCCCCAACAGGAACAAGAAGACGAGCAAGGTGGATCGACCAAGTAGAAGGCGACCTGCAGACCCTTCGCAGACTACGAGACTGGCGAAGTCTCGCCATGGATCGAGTAGAGTGGATACGACTTCTTCGGACAGCAGAGGACAACAAGGCCTTAGCCCGATTGCAAGCCATAAGATTGATCCAAGAACGAAAAACCGTGGAACTATGATATTAGAATGAATTTGGAGTCTTAACATAAACATGGGTCCCAATGACCATCTGCCAGTCCTCCGGAAGATCCGTAAAAATGGTCCATCCATGATACTGTTTCTAGAGCTCCGTAGTTTTGTCGAAAATACTTCTAACTGTGATATATGAAATAATTTAGGGTCGAGACATCAACATGAACCTGGATGGCCATTGGAACGTCCTCCAGAAAATCCTGATCATCCGTAAAAGTGGATCATCGATGAAACTGTGAAAATCCGTGGAGCTGCGATTTAAGATAGAATTTAGGGTCGTGACATAAACTTGGATCCGGATGGCACATCCGTAAATTTATCATACTGTGAAACTGATCCTAGAGCTCTGCAGTTCTTTTTTAAACACTGTGATATAAGAAACCTCTGGATCACTTTTACGGATGTTCCGTATCTTCCGGAGGACGGTCCTATGGCCATCCAGGTCCGTGTTTTTTATCTTTATTAAGGAGACTTTCAGCCCTGGGCTGGTTCGTCTCCGGTACGTGTTTATGTCATGACCCCGAATTCTTTCTTATATCGCAGTTCCACATGCTTTCGAAAAAACCGTAGAACTCTAGGATCAGTTTCAAGGATTGACCATTTTTAAAGATGTTCTAGATCTTGCGGAGGATGGTCCCATGGCCTTCTAGGTAAATGTTTATGTCACAACCGCAAATTAATTTATATATGACAGTTCCAAGTGATTTCGAAAAAAAAACGTGGAGCTCTAGGATCAGTTTCACACAATGACCACTTTTACGGAATTTTCGGATCTTGCCGAGGACGGTCCGATGGCCATCTGGGTCATGTTTATGTTACGATCCCAAATTCATTATAATATCGCAGATGGCTATTAAGAGATGGCTAAGTTGTGCCATTGCAAACTTGCCGTTACACGTTTTTCGGAGGCTTCGTAGTCGGCGTAAAGTTTTTTACCCACCGTATTCGGAGTGTTAATAGAGGTCAAGGAAACGGACACTCGAGACTCTTAAGCATGCTACCTAAAACCACACATCGTAGCATGCCTTTACCTGTTGGAGACTAAATGTAGGTACATGGTTAGGTAAATTGTGACATGGCAGTGGATACCTGCTGATTTTTAGTACCTATTGATTAGTATATAACTCGTAGATAACAGATGGATTATTCAGTGGTCTTGAGTACTTGGCACTGATGAAGTCTGCAAGCAGTAGACGAAATACGCGTATCTGTCAAAAGATAAGCAATTATAACGGAATTTAAAGGAAATAAACCAACACAAAGCTCTTCATAAAGGGATTCCGTTAAGAGGTTCGACAAATTTAAAAGAAAAATACTTATTATTCTAAATTTAAAAACTATCAAAAATCTGTTCCAGTTAGTATTTGGCCACTTCTTTTTAATTACTGTAGCGTCTCTAGTGGTCGTAGTAGGAAACTGCTGACAGCGTTTTGATCTGGAAGGATTATAAAATAAACGTCGATTTAAATTGTTTAAGCCTAATTTCAGATCATCCAA